AGATTCTTATGATTCTGTAGTACATTGGTACCTACCTCCAAATCTCAATTTGCCTTTTACTCATTATGCTTTATTTAGTCTTCTTTCAGTTCCTATACCTTTCAGAGTTCCTTGCTGTTAATCTATGCTTTCTCTCTCTCTCTCTCTCTTTTTTTTTTTCTGTTTGTTTAAACTTTTGGTGGTTTTAAAGATCAAATCAAGGGCTTCATGCATTCAAGGCAAGCACTTTACCAATGAGCTACATTCCCAACTCCTGTCTTCTTGAAATGTTTCTTCAAAATTTGTTTAACTACTCATTATTTGGGAATCAGTTTAAATGTTACTTCTCTAATCACCCATCATAGTTTAAGAAATTAAGGTCCCTATTCAAATGCTCTCATACAGTCCTGCACTTCTTTGAAGTTCTTTCTTTGTGTCACACTAACCCACCACTATCAATACCACTAAACTTCAAGCTTTACAAGTGCACAGATCATGGCTATCTTGTTACAGTTAATTTCCCAGAGGCACAAATTTCACACATAAAAGGCAAAGAGAATATTTGTTGATTGAGTGAATGGGTCAGTCATTAACCAAGTCAATAACTATTAAATTGACCTATTAACTTTAGTTTGATAATTTAGATAATTTTCACTAATTTGTATGATGAAAAATACAAATGAAACACAGAATTGAACAGTCTGGAACCAGTTCCTTTATACTTTATCAGAGTCTTCACTTCTACACTATTCTTTCTTTTCTACATCATCAACAATTCTTTCTCTACTGGATCATTCCTACAAATATCAAAACATGCCTTAATATGTACTCATCTTCAAAACACAAAAACAAAAACTTTCCCTTAATTCTTCTTTTTATCTCCTCCCTTTACAAAAAAAAAAAAAAACACCTTTCATGATGAGTTTCTTTCATACATAGTATATGTCTCCATTGCATCATCTTTCATTCTCTTACCAACTCCATTCTAATCTGGCTTCTGAATCGTCATTCCACTAATACTGTTCTCCCCTAGGTCATTCTATAAAGAAAATTAGTGAACTTCTTTATCAGAAATATAGCCTAGAAAGAGGAACTATATTTTAAAAAGAAAAGAGACATGGAGTAAGAGGAAAACTAAGTCTAACAAGAAATACATTACAACAAAATAAAATGGGGGAAGAGGCAACATTTGAAGAGACAAAAGCCAAGAGTTTTGTAAAGTTGTTGAAAGTCATCAATTCTGAGATCTAGGAAGTCCTAACAAGTTCTAAACAGAATAAACAAAAAATCCATACCTAGACACATCAGGACTGAAGAAAAAGGCATATTCCTAAAAACAACTCAAGAAAAGACAGATCACCTTCAAATGAACATGAACTACTATAATTTGAATCTTAAATGTCCCCCACAGGCTTGGTCCCCAACTTGGTGCTCTTGGGAAATGGTGGAAAGAGGTGGGACCTAGTGGGAGGACTTAGATCATTGAGAGGATAACTTTTAAAGGTACTGTGCAACTTCTGTCTGTCTGTCTGTCTCTCTCTTAGCTCTGAGGATTGAACCCAATGATATATAGCCCCAGCCTTTTTTATTTTTATTTTTTTTACTCTGGGATAGGTTTTACTGGCTTTGAATATGTGATCCAGGAATTGTGGATAATGTGATGAACAAAGCTGAAAAAATTTACATATATAAAACACTTCACCTAATAATTAGAATGTATGTTTCTTATAATAAATAGAATGTTTCTGAATACTGACCACAAACCAGTCTTTAAAGGAAGCCTAAATATATTCAAGAGAATACACTTTCTGAGTACAACACAATTAACAAACAAAGCTGATTATAAAAACACCATGTTTAAAAATCTAGGATTTTTTCCCCTAAGCAAATTATAGATGAAATAAGAAATAATAGGAAACAATAAAATATGTAGAACTGAAAAATGACAAAATACTGCTTGCCAAAATTTGGGAGATGCAGATAAAGAGACACTTAGAGAAAAATAGACAGCCTTAAATATTTGTACTAATAAATTTAAAAATAAGAAAAAAGATTTGAACATTCAATTTCAGAATTTCAAGAAATAACAGCATAATAAATCTTGAATCTTAAATAGAAATCAGAAAGAAAGAAAAAGGAGCAGATATTAATAATATAGAAAAAATGTGAGAGGAGTAAGTAAACCAAAAGTTGGTTTTTCACAAGTCTAACAAACATTTTGCATGATTATTCAAGGTGGGGAGGAAAGGTACCAATAAGCAATGTTAGGAATGGGAAAAGGGGACATGCCCTCTCTCAAAATAAAAAAATATAAAAAAGAGGTGGGAATGTGGTACAATGGTAGAGTACCTCTAGGTTCAATCTCTGGTACCATATCAATCAATAAATAAAGTAAAATGAAAAATAAAATAAAAAGGATTGGGGATATAGCTCAGTGACAAAGTACCCCTGGGTGTTTATTTCCTAGTACGGCAAAAACCAAAACAAAACAAAACAAAACCCTAATTAAACAGAATGAAAAGTCTAGAAACAGATCACACATCCATGAAAATTTGATGTATGACAGAACAGTCTTGGAGGTTAGCAAGGAATGGGGGATATTTTAATATATGACATGAGGTCAAGTGGTGACCCATAGGAAAACATTATGAAACTAGATTTCTACTTTAAACCAAAAAAATCAAGCAAACAAAATTCCAGGTTAAAAAAAGTTCTAAACAGAATGCAAAACTAAAAAAAAGTTTAGAAGACAATGTTGGACACTTTATGACTTTTACATGGGGAAAGATTTCTTAAACAAGATGCAGAAAATACAAAGCATTAAGAAAAAGTTTGAAATTACATTTTTTTTTTTTTTTT